ACAGAACTAAAATAATAACCTTAAAATCTTTATGAAACCACAAAAGACCCAAAACAGACAAAGTAATTTTGAAGAAGAAAAACGAAACTGGAAGTGTCATAGTTCCAGATTTCAAGCTGTGTCACAAAGCTGTAGTAATCAAAACAGTATGGTGCCGGCATAACATAGACACATAGATTAATAGATCAAAATAGCCCAGAAATAAACCCATGATTATATGACCAGCTAATCTATGATAAAGGAGGCAAGAATATGCAATGGGGCACAGAGCGTCTCTTCAAATGGTGCTGGAGAAACTGAACAGCTACATGCAAAACAATGAAACCATTTAATTGCACCATGGACAAAAATAATCTCAAAATGGATGAAAGACCTAAATATGAGGGCTGAAACCATAAAAATCCTGGAACGAAATATATTCATTAATTTCTTTGATACTGGCCACAGAAATACTTTCCTTGATTTATCTCCTCAGGCAGAAGAAACAAAGCAAAATTAAACTATTGGGGCTACACCAAAATAAAAAGATTTTCCACAACAAAAGAAACTATTAATAAAACAAAAGAGAAGCCTACTGAATACAGAAAGATATCTTCAATGATATATCTGATAAGGGGGTTAAAATCCAAAATATGCAAAGAACCTATACAACTCAACACCAAAAAACCAAATAACCTGATTTTTGAAATGGGCAGAAGACCTGATATACATTTTCCCAAAGATAAACAAGAAGTCAACAGACACGTGAAAAGATGCTCCACATCATTAATAATCAGGAAAATCAAAATCACAAAGAGATAGTACCTTATGCCTTTCAGAATGACGAGTATCAAAAAGATAAGAAATAATAAGTGTTGCAAAGGATGTGGGGAAAATCAACTCTTGTGCACTGTTGGTAGGAATGCAAACTGGCGCAGCCACTTGAAAAACAGTATGGAGTTTCCTCAAAGAAATTAAAAATTAGAAAAATTTTTTAAAAAATTAAAAATAGAATTACCATATGATCCAGTAATTCCACTACTGGGTATTTACCCAGATAATATGAAAACACTGATTTATAAAAGGTAAGTGCACCTCTTTGTTTATTGCAGCATTATCTCCAATAGCTAAGACATGGAATCAACGTAAGGGTCCATCTACAGCTGAATGGATAAAGATGTGGCATATGTGTGTGTGAGTATGTGAGTGCGCATGTATGTGTATACACACACAATGGAATATTAGCCATAAAAGAAAAAAAAATACAGCTATGAGATCTTGCCATTTGAAACAAATGGTTGGACCTAAAGGGTATTATGCCAAATGAAGAAAGTCAAATTGAGAAAGACAAATACTATATAATTTCACGTATATGTGAAATCTAGAAAACAAAACAAGTTAATAGACAAACAAACAAAAAAGCAGAAACTGACCATAAATAGAGAGAACTGATGACTGCCAAAGTAGTGGTGAGGTGGGGGATAAGGTGGGCAAGATGGCTTAAGGGAGAGGGAGATACAGCCTTCCAGATACAGCCTTCCAGCTATGGAATGAATAAATTATGGGAATAAAACATACAACATAGGGAATATAACCAATAGTGTTATAATAGCATTATAAGGTGACAGATCATAGCCATACTTGTGGTGAGCAAACCATAATGTATAGAGTTGTTGAATCACTCCCTATGTTGTACATCTGAAACTAATGTAACATTATGTATCAACTATATAACAATAAAATCCATATATATTAAATACATAAGTCAATTATACATCAATTATACATATATATGCATAATTATATATGGATATATACTACAATTTATATTATGTTGGGGGAAGAGGAAATATAGTTTTAAACTGATATAAATGTAAATGTTTTATAAGCCTGTTTCTGTTACTAGCTTCTGTCACTCAACCACATTTTTGAGATTTATGTTGCTTTGTGAATAGATTTTTGCTTCCTTGCGGCTAAGTATTCAATAATACAGATTCTCAGCACTTGATCAACACAACACTATTGTAGTGACTGATGCCTCTTGATGACCCCAACTCCCAGTTGCTACAGATAATGCTACAGTGAACAATATAACATATGCCATTTTATAGACCTATGCAAGAACATTTCTGAGCTACATACCCAAGAGTGGGAATGCTGGGGATACAATTTTAATTTCATTAAATTTAGTCAGATTGACCCAGCAGTCTCACCAGTTTACATATACCCCTTAAGAATTCCCTCTCTCCATAACCTCAAGAGTACTTAGCATTATTAATCTTTCCAGTGTTCATCATACTGTAATTGTGTCATATTATTTAACTTTTTGTATTTTGCATTTCTCTAATTTTACCTTACATTTCTCTAATAAGAAAGAGTAAGCCTTGATATACTTGTTAGCCATTGAGTCTTATCTCTGAACTCTTTTTAATGTTTATTTATTTTGAGAGAGATAAAGAGACAGAAAGTCCAGAAAGTTGCACATATGAGCAGGGGAGGGGGAGAGATAAAGTGAGAGACGAAATCCCAAGCAGGCTCTGCGCTGTCAGAGTGGAACCCAGTGGGGTCTTGATCATGACATGAGTTGAAATCAAGAGTTGAATACTTAACCAACTGAGCCACCCACGTGCCTCTCTAAACTCTTAATTCATCTACTTTGCCCATTTTTTAAAAAATCTCCATGCTTTCTCATGATGTGTAAAAGATCTTTTTATAGACTATGTATTAATACCTTGTCAGTTTTAGATACTGAAATTATCCTTTTCCTTTCTGTCATAGTCTGTCATATTTGTCTATGGAACCCTTTGTTAATAGATATTATTAAGTATGATGTAATCAAATCCCTATTTCTAGCCTTATCAACTTAAAATCTTGTTTTAGAAGTTTCTTCCCACCTTTAAGCCTAAAGGTTATTTTCCTACACCTAAGAGAAGGTATTTTGCAAAGAGTCAGGGTAATCATGTGGCAGTTTAAGTCTGTTTTCAGCTTCCATTTATTTACATTAAATAAGTTCAGAATTTTTATAAAAATAATTTTAATTGTATTCACAACATAATGCTGTTAACTAGATTATACAAGATAACTTGATGACAGTAGCCATTAAGATAGTTATGAAGAGCATTGGGAGAGGCAAATATTAAACAGCAATTATTGAACATTCCCTGCTTGCTTTGAAGCATTTGAATCATATCCTATTGGTTCAAAATTAACATAAAACGTAAAGTTGACAATTGGAATATAAGCAAAGATTATCAGGGATATTTCAGACCCTGCCCATAAGCATGTTGAAGAAAGAGTAGGAGACACTCATTTGCAAAGAGCTGATGATCCTCTTGACTCTTTATCAGTAATCAAAATGTATCTTTTTTCTTATTATTTTTTGAGACAGAGGCAGAGAGAGAGAAAGAGAGAGAGAGAAAGAATATCAGCAAGGAAGAGGGGTAGGGGGGAAGAGAAAGAGAACCCTAAGCAGGCTCCATGCTAAGTGCAGAGCACTCAAGCACTCGAGGCTTGATCCCACACTCTTGGGATCATGACCTGAGCCAAAACCAAGAGTCAAATCTTCAACTGACTGAACCACTCAGGTGCTTCTCAAAATGTCTCGTTAATAAAATTTTGTGTACTTACAGGCAAATATACAAAATGGCTATCAACATGTACTGCTCCCTAGTTATTAGATAGCAATTTTCTGACTATTGGTTTAGATTAAGCTCTTACTACTTAGAGCTTCTTGTTTTGATATATGTGGACAAAAATTTTTCCTGGATTTTTCTAATTCTCATTCCATATACCTCCCTTGAATGAGCTCACCCACACCCGTAGCATCAGCAATCTTCAGTGCACCATCTCCCAATTGTCTAAATTCTACAGGATCATATATACAACATGGGTGCTATATTCTTCAAAAATCTTTAATATATTTTGCTCTCACTCTCACTCTTATTCTAACATAAACACATACACATACATACACATACACACACTCTCCTTCCTTCTTTTTCCCCAACCACAATCCCATCCCAGCCTGGTTGCAGAAATCATTACAACCCATCACTTACTTCAAGCAAAATATTATGAAAGTGAATTTGTAAAAGACTTTCCTTCAGATCCTCAACAGGTACAAAAAATATCACACAGATATTAGATATAGTTTGGTACTTAAGGATATCCTTTTTGGCAGTTGGAAGATGGAGATAGGGAGAGATATAAAGGGATATGGAGAGACAAGGAGGGATGTAAGAAAATTCCAGGTTTTCAAGTCTTTATGTGAGTCTATTATGCCTGAAGAGAATTAATATAACCTCCAGTTTACTAATAAAACATTATGCAAAATCTGTGCTATTTGGAAAGACTATTATAAGCCTTAGTAACTCAAAATTTTTAAACTTAATTCTCTTAATCTATGTTGTTCAAATTTTGAAAGAAGGAAAAAGAGGAAGAAAAGTTCCAAATTACAATGCTGTATTTCTTGATACTTTTCTCAATTTTTCCTACATGATAGTGATTAATGATCCCTGACTTTGGCTGTCTCTTATCAAGTTCCTTCAGGTCCTGATTTAGAAAGTGAAGCTTAACCTTTCTACTGTTGATCAAGGGTATGGGTAACCTTCTGGATAATGACAGACTACAAATGAGTATTCCTTTAACTGAAAAGATAAAGGCTGAGCAGTAAGATAAAGACTTTTAAAATCATGAAGTTTATGGATAGGGTCGACATGAACTTATTCCTAAAATTTTAGTCTGCTAAAATCAGGAGCACTTCTACAGAATTACTTAAAAATAACAGTAAAACTGTTAAATTGAACATCATCTATTTATACGGAACAATAAATAGTAGTTCGTGCAAATAAAGAAATACATTATTTTAGATACACATAGATTATTAATCCATATATTACTATGGCAATAAAATAATGTTTAGAAATATATCTCTAAATGTAGAGATCCATAAATTAGGGGGATTTGTACGTCTATACTTAAAGTATCTAACTCTATAGAATATTTTGTTAATATTAAGTAGCATATATTTGATAACCAATATCTTCATGAATTTCCATGTCATCCTTACTTAGGGGCCATGCTAATCTTCCCTATATTGTTCCAATTTTAGTGTATGTGTTGGCAAAAAAGCAGTATAAAAGATATCTTTTATTTAAAAAAAAGTTTATAAAAAAGTTTGTGTTCTGCATATTAAACATGAGGCCTAGAGGTCTGAATGCTCTAAACTTTCCCTTCCGACCTTCACATATACTCAGTGGAAATCTGCAGGCTCTAAAAAGCCCTCCCCATTGCCAGTCTCATGATAACTTCCTCACCCCGACCTGGAACACTCACCAAATCACCACTTGTACTTGCTGTGTAACCAATAAACAAACAAACAAACAAAAAGACACAGCTGTTCTTACTTATCAGTCAAGTGAACACATGCTAGAGGAAGAAATGCCCTCAGTAGTTCACTAATGGGGGGAAAATGTAGGCTTTGCAGTTCTAGAATGGTGGGGAGTCTGTGGTGGCTGTGCTTATTAAGGTGCTTATTAAGGAGTAAAATGTAGCATTCTGGATTGAAAACAATGTCAAAGGGCAACACACAGTAGTTTAAACATTTGTTATTGGTCATGAAAAGTCTTCAGTTAGGGGCGCCTGGGTGGCTCAGTCGGTTGGGTGTCCAGCTCTTGGTTTAGGAGCAGGTCATGATGTCACAGTTTGTGAGATCAAGCCCCTCATCGGGCTCCACGCTGTCAGTGTCCCTTCCCCGCTCATGTTCTTTTTCTCAAAATAAAGAAACTTAAAAAAAAAAGTCTTCAGTTAGATCCACTAAGAACCTGGCAAACTTGAAATAACTCTATTTGTCTATTCCTTTAATAATTTTATTTGGTTACACTAATTGAAAGCTTTTATTTTACACATTTATTCCTCTTAAATTGATCTCCAAAATAAACCCCAAACAGTCAGGTTACTCCTTATCACTTGGTTTTAAGGTCTTAATTTGATCTCATTCTTAGGTCCTAAAGCCCTCAGGAAATCATTGTCAGTTCTTATCAAAATTCCCTATTCCCTCAAATTTTCCTCACTAGTTTAGAAATTTTTCTTTTCCTTCTTGCTCAAATTAAAACCTGACTCTTTCCTGATGATTCTGTATTGCTAAGTTTCCTTGGCAGGTAGATGTTTCTCTCATACAACCTTACCATTGGGCTTTTAAGTGTCCCCTGTGCTCATATTATCTCTCTTAGCCCATTTTCCTTGTCCTCCTAAGAACCCCATGTTTAGAATCTCATGTCAACAGATAATGTAGTAGATGGAGTAGTCTACCCCCACACTGGCTCTGGGTTGGCACCGATTCTTTGCTTTAGCCAGTAAGACAACTGTAAACATGATGCAAGCAGAGTCTTAACTTTTTTCTTGCACATAGGACTCACTCTATCTTGCTGCTTATGGGAACCTTGCACCCACTAGTAGTAGGAGTGTAAAGCAGTATGTCTATAACAAAAGACCCTTCATCAAGTCATGCCTATTGCCCATGTACCTCTATCCAAATTCTAGACATGTGAGTCTGTCTTAGATCACCTATCACAAGCTCATCTAGTAGTAGGTAATCTAAGAAGACTCTCCTAGCCAACCCACAGAATCATTGAGAAATAATACTTGTTTATTGCCTTAAAATACTAATTGTGGAGAGTTTTTTTACATGGCAAAATCTAACTGATACAGATTATATCACTCAACCCTAATGCTAGACTATAAGCTCCATGTGAGCAGTTGTTTGTTCGCTTTTTTCCCTGCTGCTGTTGCCCCAGTGGATGGAAATTTTTGATTTTCAATAAATTCTTTTTGAAAACAAAAAAAAATGTTAAATGTTTTTAACAAAAATGTTAAAAATGTTTTTAGGTAAATATTGCCCTGAATTAAATATAAGGAGGGAACACACCTTTCCTTAATGGCTCACAGATCCTAAGAATATGAATATACATATTGTATAGACAATCATTTTTGTAAACTTACAATAAACTTAATTATTTTTCAAGCCTCTTTGAGATACTGTAATAATAATGATGATATGGTAATGATTAATGATACTGATTACAGTATTAGCATAATACTATAATAATTATTATTAATTGAAAAGCCCTTGATTCCTGACATTATACCATTTAATATTTAAGTGAAACGTATAAGATAGACACTACTATTACCCTTGTTTCATTAAGGAGAAGACCCGATGCTTAGTAAAATTAACCACTGATCCAAAGTTTCATAATCAGTAATAGATTTTTATATTCAAATACAAAAACGTTTTTATTCTAGGATATTAGTTAAACTTTTTCTCTAGTGTGAATCTTCTTTATATCTCTGTTTTAATAGGAGTTTTTAAGGAATAAAGATACTTAGAATATAACTGATTCAATTTCTTACTTGGTAAGAAAATGGAGGGCAAAGAGGTCAAGTAATGTATCTAAGGGGACACAGAGAATAACGTGCCAGGAATTTACAGATTTAATAAACGTGCCAGGAATTTACAGATTAGAAGTATACTCACAAGTGGAAGAAGAAAAGGTATTTTCACTTACTGAAATTTTAACCTAGGTTGGGCACTGGGTAGGTACAGTTTTACATGTAACCTGGTTTATTCCTCACAGCAAAGTAGTAAGGTGAGTCTACTGGTGAGGAATCTGGGGTTCAGAATTCACTAGTATTAAAGGCCCTGTTGGAAACCTAAACTCACTTCTGTCTGAATTCTAATAGCATCTTTTGTCAATACATACCACAGCAAGTTGGGGTTAATCTTTTTCTATAATACTTTTAACAGTGTTTTCGGAAGAAAGACTATCTGAGAAAGAATATAGTTTCTATTAAAAAAGAAATATCTATGTCAGAAAACTGCTATTAAACTGGTAAACAAGAAGAATAGTATTTTTGGGAGAGAGAGAGAGAGCGTGAGCAAGTGTATGAGTGGGGTATGTGCAGATAGAGAAGTGGACAGAAGATCTGAAGCTAATACCACAGAGCCCAATGTAGGGCTCGAACTCACTGAGAAATCATGACTTGAGTCAAAATCGATGTTCAACTGGCTGAACCAGTCAGATGTCCTCAAGAGGAATAGTATTTAAGGTAAATGCCAAGTCAGAGGAGAGAAACATGTTGTTTAAAAAATAATTCGAGGGGCACCTGGATGGCTTAGTCAGTTATGCATCCGACTTCGGCTCAGGTTATGATCTCATGCTTTGCGGGTTTGAACCCCGCATTGGGGTCTGTGTTGACAGCTCAGAGCCTGGAGCCTGCTTCAAGTTCTGTGTCTCTCTCTCTGCCTCTCCCCCACTCAAATATAAACAAACATTAAAAATAAAAACCTTAAAAAAATGATTTGAAAAGCCAATTTTGTTTCTGAAATAGATATCAGTAAGCTTCACACAGCTAATGAATATGTTAATACTGGGATATAATCTGACTTTTTGTTTTTGCAATAAAAATTACAACAAACTAATAACCTGAAAATAAAATCAAGATCCTGTTTATGTTGTCTTACCAATAAAATGATTAAGGACATCTTTTTGAACATTGGGAGGCACTTGTTCTAAGGATTATACAGAAGTGGGTAGCTGATCTAACAAAACCTGGTTTCAGGGGCCAGGCCCCCCACTCGTGCAAGTGGTGGTAAGTTCAGAGAAGGAAGCCATGGATGGGCAAGGTCTTTGGAAGATAACTGCAATTTTATTTGTCCAATAGTCCACTTCCTGAGCCAGACTGCTAATTCTTTAAATGCTGGCTATTAGTGACTGATGAAAGAAGGAAGGAAGGAGACAAGAGATGGAATAAAGTACCAGGTAGAAAGTTCAGCCCACTGGAAAGATATGACAGATCTTGGTCAGAGATAGGTCAGGATGCTGTATTATAGATGAAATATATAAAAATGCATTCATATGTAACATTAAAACACATATATTACATCCAATGAATCCTTGCTCCAGGTACTACAAGTGACAACAAAAAATCACAAGTGATTTTTAAAATTTTGTGTATTAAATTATTTAAAAGAGTATCAAATTAAAGTTCAGAATTTCTCATATTTACATGGATTTAGAGTAGTGAAATGTTAAAATGCATTTTAAATATACTGATTAAAACAGCCTCAAACTAGATGAGAGTTACTATTTTACATTAACATAATGTCAACATAATTTTAATTTAAATATATTTCCATATCTTTTGATCAGAATCTTGTTAATATTCAAGTTCATTACCTCTTACTAAGGACTTACTTTATTTAGAGGTCATAGGAATATGTTAGTTGTAAACTATGCTTACGATGGTTGAAATTTCTTAATTACAATTTTTAATTGAAATATAAAATGTGCAAAAGGGGAAAAAAAAGAAATATAAAATGAGCAATGTACCAGTGGGCAGAGCAAATCTGACAGGATTCTTCTGTGTATCTTTGGAGAGTGTTGTCTCTCTTCTTAGTACTTGAGAACGTGGGAAGTTAATATCCTCTTCAGTACAATTTCATTTATTCTTACGATTGTAAATGTTACCCAGGAATGCTATTTTATCTGGGCTCAGTCTTAAAACCAGCGAGCTTATCTTACATGCAGAGAAACTGTGTTTTAATGTAGCATTTGTCCTAATTCTTGAAAATGATTTCCTATACAGCTTGGCTATTTTGAATCAGTATTCATGTTGTAAAAAATATTTATCGGTCTATTTTAGGGGAAAATATAACTAAGGAAATCTATGAGTTAGGTTACTAATTATGCAATTAAAGGCATATACCAAGCATTCAGGAGTTTAAAACTTTATCTTCGGGGACATACTGACAGGCAGTCAGTAACGAAATTTTCACTTAGAATCTGACCACCAAATACTGTCTTACTGACTGACAGTTCTATTATGACTTTAAGGACAGGATATAAAAAGAGTCCGTTGAACTACACATTCACCACTGCCTGCAGTTGTGGATGAGAGTAAAAGAACTTGTTAACATGGGTAGGTGGAGGTTATAGTTTCTAGGAGCTATTGGTCCAGTTCTGTCTGCAACTCAAGGACAATTGTGGTGTGTGGGGGAGAGGAAGATTAGGAAACTGAGGCAAAAACAAAGTAGAGATGACTCTTAGAAATGCAGAAGGTAATGGACTAAAT